TCTTGTCTCAAATATACTTAATTGAGATTCAAAGCTAGAAATTAGTTGCGCATCCACTTTTTCTTATCCTGAATTCTGAATTTCAAAAATGAGAGAGATAAGAAGTAATTATATTCACTGTACGCTGTCGAATTACAAGCCATATACATGTTAACAGTAATTACACACAACGCGGTCGCTGTGATGATTTCCCGTAATTCTTCTCAGTCTTTCGTAATTTATAACTTTGAACATAACCTCTCTTCAGAAAGCATAGCATATAAATAACCCGTCATATTTGGCATATTCAGTAATGATTTCCTCACACAGCAAATGTCAGTGATTTTATACACATACAGACCAAAACACATAATCAACCAACTTTCTTCTCAGGGATAAAAACTACAGGCAAGGACCATTTGGCCTCACAAAATATATGCAACCAATAATCCATGTAGTTTAGTTGAGTGATTTCTCCTTCGATGGACGTTCACAACGATCCTAGTGAGCAAACATGGAATGACTGTTTGCGCCCTAAAAACTAGCTAGATCTTATAGTTTTTTGTTGTCATTTTATAGGTTTCTTACATGATACCCGTGCCGGTTCCTTATCTTGACAAGGTATTGTCCAGAACTGGTTCGTACAAAAAATTAGAGTTGCAAGATCTATTCAGCGTCTCTATTAAATACCCGAACACTTCAAAAACTTAGCATCCATCTTCTGGAAAAGAGTTCAAAGAAAAGCTTCAATGTATCAAAAAATAAATTTGTCGACGTCCCCAAATATGATCTAGACAAAGACCTGAGAGGTCATTTGGAGATCAAATCTGTAAATTCAAATAGTAACCACTATTTTTGACAGCAGATTCGTGTGAAGCTCGAAATTTTTTTCCAAAAAATGCATGTTTACAAGGTTTTCGGGGTATTTGTACAATTTTCAGACGTTCAGTATGTCAAGCTGATTGAACCACTTATGACCTCATGTATGGATTTGCTATCAAAAATGGTGGTTGATATTTGAATTTACAAAGCTGATCTCCAAATGGTCTCTGAGGTCACTGTCCAGGCAGTATCTGAGGTCATCAACAAATTGCTATTTTGTTACTCTGAAACCCTTTTTAGGACCTTTTTTCCAACTAATGCGTGGTTGGCAAGTTTTCGGGGCGTCCGGGTCATTTAATAACCACTGCCATTTCAGACCCTACATTTGAGACGACTACAACTCGTCTACTTAAAAGAAAAAAACCGTCTTTTGATACTATGATTGGTTCTTTAACACAACACATAACAAACATATGTTATTGTTTTGAAGTTTTTTTTTTATTTTTACAGCTCCATCTGGCAATTGTGAAAGCGCCCTAAATTCTGTATTACCTCAAGGCCCTTTCAATGAGATTTTCTAATTTGAGAATGTACAAATCAGTCGATTTTTGGTAGTCAACTTTTGCTGAGTGCCTTTCCGAGAATGATATTCTTAGACCTTTCCTATATTGACGTCATCATTGGATTCCTGTTCATTTTTTGGAGGAATAAATACTTTTAAAATGTCAAACCTAATTACAGACAACTAACTTTATACTTTGTCAGTCAGCTCTTTACCCATAAAGATAGAGAAGCTTTTTATTTTCTGTTTTCTTATTCAATTTACCATACCTATGTAGTACAGGGTGCGGCAGAGAGGATGGACGGTTTTAAAAAAATCATAAAATAGTTAATTTTTACTCGAAAACAAATTTATTGATGGAATCAGGTTCACAAGGAAATAGCATTTGAGACAGTCAAGTGTGGAAAATCACATCAGGCATGTGGTGGCCGAAATCGTTGATGCAGTGCTGGAGGCGTTCTTGGGAGTTCGCGTAGACTCTCTCCAACATCGCTCTCTCAACTTGGGCGTCTTCGACGCGAATTTCTCGGAGATCCATATGCAAAATTACCGAACGATCACTAAGGCGAAGTCCGGGCAGATCGAGTCGGACTGCGAAGAAAGACCTGTAGAACGCGTTCAACATTTTCAGGAGTTCGAACTGTTCGCGGCGCTCCTCTTGGTCTTCTGTTGATCAGTTCACCACGCCTGCGAAATGATTCAACCCAACGAAGGATGGTGTTTCGAGAGGGAACAGCTCTATTCCGATGAATGTTGAAGTGGCGACGAAACTCACGCTGTACGACGATGACTGACTCATTATTTCGGACGAAATAATCATAGGCGAGAACGCGGTGCTTCACCGTCCAAGGCTCCATAACGACAACTGGTAAAATAATGCTAGGATCTCACGAGTCAAACGGCACCCTCCCCACCTCTCTCGTAGACGGAGTCGGAGAGTACTTACTACCCATCCCAAAAACGTCTGTCCTCTCTGCCGCACCCTGTACAACATTCTTGTTTGGTAGTCGAAATGAATAAAAAAGCTTATAACTGGAATTCATACGAGCAGCCATCCAAATGTCCTAACTGCCTCAAATTCTAATTAGTATTTGACAGGAGAGCAATTCGTAGCACAATACACAATGACTAAATAGTTTGCTCTCCACGTGTTCGTGACTCCGCGGAGCTCTCTTGCACGAAATTTAATGTTCCTTATTCCGAAGTTTATTGCTTCGCGAGTTCTCTGCTACTCTAATTAACGCTAATAAGGAGTTTTATCGGAAACAGCAAACGGCGCATACAGGGTGTTCAAAATACGGATTAATTTCTAATGGGTGATTTTTTTGCTAGTATCTTTTTGGCAACACTGTTTTTGACAGATGACGCGTGAATCATGTATTGTGTCATTGTCAAACTTGTTCAGTTTGGTCTATAATTTAACCATGAATCGACTTACGAACGAACAACGCTTGCAAATTATTGAATTTTACTATCAAAATTCATGCTCGGTTAAGAGAGTGCATCGAGCACTGCTTCTAATTTATGGGCAATTTGGTCGGCCTACTGAGGGAGCTATTCGGAAGCCTGTGACTAAATTGCGAACCCAGTTTACATTATTTTACATTAAACCACCAATACGCAGACGTAGAGTGAGGACTGAAGAAAATATTGCGGCTGTATCCGCCAGTGTTAGTGATGACCGTGAAATCTCGATTCGCTGCCGTTCGCAGCAATTGGGCCTCTGTTACTACACTACGTGGAAAATTTTGCGACGGGATTTGGGTGTAAAACCTTATAAGATACAGCTAGTGCAAGAATTGAAGACACACGACCTCCCACCACGTTTCCAATTTGGTGAATGGGCGCTGGCAAAGTTGGAGGAAGATCCACATTTTTATCGAAAAATTGTGTTCAGCGACGAAGCTCATTTCTGGTTGAATGGGTACGTTAACAAGCAAAATTGCCGCATCTGGAGTGAAGACGAGCCAGAAGCATTGCAAGAGCTACCAATGCATCCCGAAAAAATCACTGTTTGGTGTGGATTATGGGCCGGTGGCATCATCGGGCCGTACCTCTTCAAAGACGACAATGGCCGGAACGTAACTGTGAATGGCGAGCGCTAGCGTGCGATGATAACAAACTTTTTTTGCCCAAAATGGAAGAGCTGGACTTGGCTGACAAGTGGTTTCAACAAGACGGTGGCACATGCAACACTGCACACGAAACAATGGCCCTATTGAGAGGCGAGTTCGGTGAACAGTTTATCTCACGTTTGGGGCCCGTCAATTGGCCGCCTAGTACGTGTGATTTAACGCCGTTGGACTATTTCTTGTGGGGCCATCTTAAGGCTAATGTCTACAGGGATAAACCAGCAACGATTGACGCACAGGAAGCCAATATTGAAGCATTTATTCGTGAGATACCGGCCGATATGTTGGAGAGAGTGTGCCAAAATTGGACCTTGCACATGGGCCATCTAAAGCGGAGCCGTGGCCAACATTTACATGAAATAATCTTTAAACATTAAATTATATCGACCGTTCTATCGACTCAAATAAAGATTTAATCGTTTTTTCAAATTTTGTTGTGTTTTTTTTTTGAAAATCAAATCCTATACCTCTTAAAAAATCATCCGTTACAAGAAAAGAGGTACATAGGGTATCCATGGATATCTCAAAGGTATATGTCTGAATTTGAATTGGATTAAAATACCGCTATAAAATCGTTTTGTGCGAATAACCAAAACCTACAGGAATGCTCACATGCGCATCTTAGGCACTGTCAAACAGGCCCTGTGATCCTGTGACAGTGACGTAGCAAAGTCTTGTGACACCAGCGGCGTGTCACCCCACACCGAACAATACACAATAAACATTTTTTAGACTTCTTTGTTTATGGTAGAAACATACCATTAATAAAGTGAATAATTTTTAATCTTGACAGCTTATGAAGTTAGCTTCAGTCTTCCAGAAACTTTTTCTATGAACTAAATTCAAGCCACTTTCTCGTGATTCTGTATGCCAAGTGTATCTCTCTCCTTGCTAGTTACTATCATCGCAAGCGGATTCCCAGCAGCATCTGTAACCCCTTCGTAAAACAGATTTCAAACAAACGGCCCTAGGATGGAGCCCTGCGGCACTTCCATGGTTACCTTTACCGACTTTTGTCCTGCCAGGATCAGTAGGTCTTGCCTTGATGCCAGACAAGGTCAATGAGAAGAAGGGAAGAAGAAAGAGAGAAAGGAAGGACAGCAAAGAGAAGGAAGATCAAGTCGTCCATCTTATCGCAATGGATTGGCACGAGAGAAATTAGTGCAATTACAAGCTGGATTTAGTAAAATACGTACGAGTAGCGTACGTATATCTATGTGAGTCTTGAACGACGCGATATGTTAACTTCTACCACTTATTCTGTGGTGGAATTGACAAAAACTATATCTCTATTAAGTACTTTATGTATGTAGACTACTTTACGTTGTGACGTACCTAGTTGAGTACCAGATCTAAACGAACATGGATTATCAGCTCAATCGTTAACTCATGGTCCATGATCTTCATTCCCGAGATTGTGGATGATGAGCGACTGAAGAGTTTGGTTTGGGACGTTTTCTAATTTAATCCTGTAAGTATTTGTAACATCATCCAGTTACCCTTACCTTGTTCAACCGGTCGATGTGTTGGTGAAGTCGGTGTGCTGGACCTAGGGGTTCCACCAATAATCCTAATTTCGGCTCTCCCATCGCAGCCTTGTACAGGGGTGACGATAATCTGCACCTAAATATAAATAGAAAGAATACAGATAGAATAAAGTGTATGCTTAGCTGTAATTGAATTCATAGTTTGTTGCATGAAACTTCCGGCCTCGGAAACGATTTTTTTCTATTCGTTCACGACTTCGATTCCAGTTTAGGTTTGACTCAAGTTACTTCCATTGCAATTAAAAGAATCAGTGCAACTGTTCTTATAGCAACGATACTCAAATTCGAGCAGTATCGCTTCTCCTAGACAGTCCCTCCAAATCAGATCCGGCCCTTTCCTAGGGAATCGAAATCCCAATCAAAGAAGCCGGAATCAAAACGACGGTAGACGGAATCGAAACCACCGCAATCTATAAACGCCCTTTCCATACTTGCCCAGGAAAGATGGTGCAGAGTGAATGTACCATCTGCTCTACACTTACACAGAAAACTAGCTATAACTAGCTTCTGGCAGGTCAGCTAGAGACAAGAGGCTCAATTTAAAATTACGTTATTTGCTTATCCTTCGCTTTGATTTGAAACCCATATAATTTATGCCATATTGAATCTAGAATGACGTCACTTTGCTTACTATGTTCCCTAATCATGCCCTTTCATTTGATACCCATAGTACAAGCCGCCATATTGGATTTAGGATGACATAGCGTTGCTTGTTTCGATTCTCTCATAAAGTCTTTTAATTCGAAACCCATATCATAACAATGACTAGGATAATAATTATAAATGCCATCTTGAGGGAGTTGTCTTATTGGATTTGGAGTGATGTCACTTTCTCTCGTCAAATCTTTGTATTTGATATTCATAAAAAACAATTTTTGGCAAATAAACTACACAATGCAATAAAGGAAAAATTATGACTTATCTTTGCAACGTCCATGAGTCCGGGTCTGATCTACAGGTAGTTGGCCAAAGATAGGGTTACGAAGCAAAGGCTTCACTAAGGGCAAGCGTGAGTCCAAAGCCAAGGCTAAGGCAAAGCTAAGCCAGAGAGTAAATCTACGGCCTCCAATCATTTTGCCTAATTTGACACACATAATTGGAGTTCAGCACAAATCGACGTGGTCAAGAGAAGATTAAATGTGTTGTCTCTGCAATGACTAGAAAACGAGGGGGAGGAAGAGGCCGGAAACTTTTACACAAGAAACTCTTGAAGGTCATGAATTTCACAAGAGATAGTAATAATAATAATAATAATAATAATAATAATAATAATAATAATAATAATAATAATAGCTTGATTTTTTTCAAAGTCAACATGTCTAAGCGACTACATAGTTCCTCATTACTTGTACCTCTCTCTGGATAATGTCCCATCAATCCTAAACAGAACAAACTTCATAAACTTCCGTTGTACTCTTTCAATAGCTGTGCTATAGCATTCATAGTAAGGGCTCCAAATAATACTACAATATTCGACTTTGGATCTAACATAAGCATAATATAATAGCTTAATAGACTTTATGTTATGAAAATTCCTGCAATTCCTTACTATGAAACCATAAGCCGCTAATGCTTCTGATGCTTTTTTATTTATATGCTGACTAAAAGTTAACTTTTGATCATAGATTATACCTAAATCACGTACATCAGAGCATCTTTCTAGCACAGACCCATCAATAGAGTACCGATATTCGCAAACATTAATTTTCCTGGTATAGCTGACTATTTTACACTTCCTCACATTAAGCTCCAACTTGTTTTCTACACACCAAGACAGCACAAAATTTAATTGGTGTTGTAGCTTGATACAATCATCAGGTGTAATTATCTGCGAATAAATGTTTAGGTCGTCAGCAAAGCATAGGCGTTCACATTCAACTGAGTCACAGAGGTCATTAATAAATATCAAAAACAGTAATGGTCCCAGGTTGGATCCCTGAGGAACTCCAGAAGGTGCCAAGTAGGTCTCAGATTGGAAGCCATTATAGCTAACAAATTGTCTACGATCGGATAAGTAAGATTTCATCAACTCCCTAGCATCATCTGTGAAACCAAGTGCACCTAACTTATTTAATAAAGTTTTGTGGTAAATTTTATCGAAAGCCTTCGAAAAGTCGGTGTAAATAACGTCAACTTGCTCATTACTATCAATGGCTTCCGAGAGGTACTGCGTTATTATAGAGAGATGATGGGTATAGATGTGCATAGATATGTAACCGTTACAAATCGATTCTTTGTTTCTATCTGCCATATCGTCCCTTTTGGACGACTGACACAGCTCTACTTCAAAATTCAGCTCACTCGCGAAACACCACTTTTCCCAAAAAGAACAAACTTTCTATCCGAATTCGAATCACCTTGTACAGCTCGATTTCCTGCAACTTTATCTAAGAGGACTCCCTAGTTTGCTCAAGCTCAATACAAATGAAGAGCTTTATAAGTAGGTACATCTGAACCCGTGCAGCTGGAGGTCAGCAACTTAGCGAACAAACTTTGCTGCTCGTGAAACTTATGCAAACGTCAAAGTGTGAATTATTTCCGGATATTGATTCCGAGTCACTTGAGAAATTAAACTTTCCGATAGACAGAGACGGAAAAGTCGAAGCTTAACAAGGAGTCCCTTGGTACATTTAATAAACGTAGCCTTTTGATCTAGAAAGTAGCTACAGGGCAAAGACCTTACATTTACTCAAATAAATATCGAATTTTGAAGAACTCACGGTTTTTGACAGGTCACACGAAAACAACTACCATCAATTCTATACATCCATATATTAACGCAATCTGCCTCTGTGCGCGAATGTTTCTTAGCTTTGTCTCTCCATCTTGAATATTTTCTTGCTAATGTATGCGTATTTCATATCTGCTTGTCAGTGTGACAGTCCACTTTTAACATGTGCGTACAAGTCTGATTTCACCGTTTATTTATATTCGTAATATTTTGAGAAAGTGAATGAAAGCAATGTTCCTTGAAGTAGCAGGTCATGAAGCCAACTGAGGCAACAAGACTGCTCGCCCAATGATTGGCGTACTTTCTATTTGAAAAAATGACTTGAAAGTTCACCTTAGTTTTCTACACAAAACATTTCATTTCGCCCAAACAAACAAAAAATCACGAAGTATATTGGAAAACGATCTGCATGTACTCGCCAAGCATTTCAAAAATACGCACCGTAAATTAAAATAATATGGAACTCCGATACTGCTGTATGAGTATGCCATTTTTGGTGCAACACCTGATTAGGTTTTGTGTACGTTTGATTTAAACATCTTGGGAATATTACGACTTTGGGGTATGTTACTAGAAAAACTAGACAAGTTAGATTTTGGAGTAATTGATTGCTGCAGTTCCTGGTGGCACACCCTGTATAATATAAAAACGCAAAATCCAAAGAGTATCGCTGCCCAAATAGGAAAGCTCGAGCCTATTGAAGGGCTATTATAGAGGAAACAAATGAATGTGTAATATGGGTTTGTGACAGAAGGATACAAAATAAATGAGTATACGGACGAGCTATCACAAAAAGGTGCTACAACTCGCTTTGCAGATCCATATCCTTTTCGTAACGCAGCTAAAAAAATATACCAAGCAGTCCAAAGAAGACTTCCTTTGATGATGGAACCTCCAATCAGAAAAATGTTCAGAAAAGGATTGAAAGAAATTGGAGTCATAAAAGTAATAGACGGCTTTCTAAACAGGTCAGTGATATTTTCACTTACTTAATGAGACTTTTAATACACCTCTAACAAGGTTAATGTTTCAAATAATTGGGATTCACAAATTCAAAAATGGCAGTTTCAAACCTATGGAATCTGATAAAAGCACTTTCGACGATGTTGTCAGTTAACCTCTTAGAAATCAAATATCGAATAAATTGAATGTATTTTTTGAATATATACATTACGGCGTCGTAGCAAGGAAAAAGTAGTTACTGAAAAGATATTAAGCAGCACGTGATATTTAGTTTTTTCATACATACATTACGGCGAACCAGCAAAGATAGAATCTTGTCAAAACATTTAAGAAAATAGTTACTGAAAAACATTAGGCAGGAGATTTCAGTTAAGCCGCTTAGTGCTCAGGACATCATGTGGTCTCGTCTGAAGAGAAGTTATATGTAATTACCTCTACACATACATGCAAAAACAAGCAATTATATTTGAAGATAGGCATCATCTGATCATTTTTGTCTAATGAATTATGAAAAGCTTGTGCATGCGAAGAGATCATTAAAACCTGCTGACTTAATCATTTTCAGAGAAAACTTCGTTAGTACTAATAAGGAATTAAAGAAACAAATATGTAACAGGTATGAGCATTCGTTTATTTACTCCTCGACTTTTTATCCAATACAGAAACTTGCAAAGATTAGTTTTTGCTTTCATGTACGTTGGAACCTTTGACATTGAATATCAATAGATTTTGTTTAAAGTTGCTATGGACTGCTAATAGATAATAGCAATACTTTGTAAATCTGTTCATTCATGTCACAAATCCACTGTGTCGTTACTATTTAATTATTACTATTTACTACAATGAAGAAGAAATATACTAAAGTGACATATAAATCCGAACACCCAGTTTAAATGGTTTTATTTTAATAAAATTTTGTATAAGTACTTAATGAAGCATAATAAGTAAATGATAAAAATTTCAAAATGATTACACTGCTTTAAAGCCCTTTGACCTTTAATAATGTGTGGATGTACCCTGATGTGCTAGGGATTCTCCAACGCGCCTAGGCATGCTTCTGATCAGGTGGTCAATGTCCTCCTGTGGTATCTCATTCCAGGCAACCAGCAACTCCTCTCGAAGATATCCCACACGTGCTCAATTGGGGATAAGTCGGGAGATCTTGGTGGCCATGGTAACAATGTGACATCATTATGTTGAAAGAAGTCTATTGCGACTCTTGCAACATGTGGTCGGGCATTATCTTGTTGGAAAGTTGGATCTGCCAGGGTGTCAAGATAGGGTAAAAGATGGGGTTCTAGAACTTCGTGGATATAACGCTGCGCGTCCATGTTACCTCTGATGAAGATTAAAGGTGACCTGGTACCATAAGCTATAGCACC